CACTGCCTCACAGAGTTGGGTCAGATTCATGTTGATCGCTTCGATGACCCTGTCCATCCATCTCGTCCTCGGTCGTCCCCTTCTCCTTTTGCCTTCACACTTTCCCAACATTAGGGTCTTTTCCAGGGAGTCTTCTCTTCTCATGAGATGGCCAAAGTACTGGAGCCTCCGCTTCAGGATCTGTCCTTCCAGTGAGCACTCAGGATTGATTTCCTTTAGAATGGATAGGTTTGTTCTCCTTGCAGTCCAGGGGACTCTCAAGAGTTTTCTCTAGCACCACAATTCAAAAGCATAAATTCTTCAGCAGTCAGCTTTCTTTATGGTCCAGCTCTCACTTCCATACATCACTACTGGAAAAACCATAGCTTTGACTATGTGGACCTTTGTCAGCAAGGTGATGTCTCTGCTTTTTAAGATGCTGTCTAGGTTTGTCATCAGTTTCCTCCCGAGAAGCAGGAGTCTTTTAATTTTGTGGCTGCTGTCTCCATCTGCAGTGATCATGGAGCCGAAGATAGTAAAATCTGTCACAGCCTCCATATCTTCCCCTTCTATTTCCCAGGAGGTGATGGGACCAGTGGCCATGATCTTAGTTTTTTTGATGTTGAGTTTCAGACCGGTTTTTGCACTCTCCTCTTTCACCCTCATTACAAGGTTCCTTAATTCCTCCTCACTTTCTGCCATCAGAGTGGTATCATCTGCATATCGGAGGTTGTTGATATTTCTTCCAGCAATCTTAATTCCGGCTTGGGATTCCTCGTCCAGCCTTTCGCATGATGTATTCTGCATTATGTGTTTAGTTTCGCAAAAATTGAGAGACTGTGTCTCCCCCCCACGGCTCCCATACGCTTAAAGTTTGTAGTTCAGTTCCTCTGAACTCTTACAATTTATAATCTGGCCTCCTTACCAATTTTGTAATTTTTGTTCTCACCTGTTGATTTAGATCAGTGGTTCCCAACCTTGGGTCACCCAGGTGTTCTCGGACTGCAACTCCCAGAAGCCTTCACCACCAGCTGTGCTGGCAGGATTTCTGGTAGCTGTAGTCCAAGAACACCTAGGTTATAAAGAGAGCTCGGACAGTATTGTGATCAAGGACAGGTTTTATTTGGAATCTCATACAAGGAGAAATAAAAGACAAAACAAAAGAAAAATCTACAGGTTGTTACTGTTACGTGTCATCAAGTAACTTCCAACTATGGTGACTCTGGATGCGTCATCTCCAAAATGTCCTTGTCTTCAACGGTCCTGCTCAGCAGTTTCAAACTCTAGCCTGTGGCTTCTTTTAGGAAGTTAAGTCCATCTCATATTGGGGTCTTCCTCTTTTCCTGCTATCTCCCATCTTTCCCAGGACGACTGTCTTTTCCGGGGAATTTTTCCCTTCTCATGATGTGCCCAAAGGACGGTGACCTCAAATTCAACACTTATATCTAGGGAGAGACTTCAGGCTTGGTTTGATCTAGGCCACTGGTTCTTAACCTTGGGATACTCAGGAGTTTTGGACTGCAACTCCCAGAAGCCTTCAGCCTTCACTACCAACTGTGCTGGCTGGGGTTTCTGGGAGTTGCAGTTCAAAAACATCCGAGTAACAATGGTTAAGAACCACTGATCCAGGCTTCCACATCCACAAAGCTCTCCTTTGGCATCACATTTCAAATTAATCATTTCTTCCCTCCCCCCCCCCATCAGCTTTCTTTACAGCCCAGCTTTCACACCCATAGTTGGTGGTCAGGAATAAAAGTGTGGATGATCTTGGTTTTGCTCTCAAGTGACACATCCTTCCAATCAACAAGGTAAAGGTTCCCCTTGACATTTAGTCCAGTCATGTCCGACTCTAGGGTGTGATGCTCATCCCCGTTTTCCAAGCCGTAGAGCTGGCATTTTGTCCGAAGACCGTTTCCGTGGTCACGTGGCCAGCGTGACTAGATATGGATCGCCGTGACCTTCCCACCGTGGTGGTACCTATTTATCGACTCGCATTTTTACATGCTTTTGAACTGCTAGGTTGGCAGGAGCTGGGACAAGCGACGGGAGCTCACTCCATCACGTGGATTTGATCCTACGACTGCTGGTCTTCCGACCTTGCAGCACAGAGGCTTCTGCGGTTTAACCCACAGCGCCACCATGTCCCTTAATCAACAGGTGGGTATGCCTTAATTCCATGCAGAACACAAATGCAAGTGTCAGTTGGACCTGGTACAGTACATGTTTACATTTGCTGATCGATCAGGGTAGCAAAGGAAGTCTGCAAAAGGCAGCTGACGTGGGATATTTATCAGGAAACCTCCCTTGATCCTTGCTACACCCAATGTCCTATAGTCTTAAATTTGCTAATGCATTCAAACTCAGGATACATCCTTTTTGTGTTTTAAGTATGGGGGTTTTCAACCTGTGATTTGTCATTGTTCCTTGAAAACAGGCCTTCCTGGGCTCAGGAAATCTAACCCAGCACTGCAGCGGGAGAAAAATACCTCCTTTCCAAACTATGCTTACTGGGGAGGTAAAGGCAGGAGGAAAGAACCAGCAGTCCCATTATTAAATGCCATACTCCTTTTGACTTTCCTTTCACCCCTGTGGCTGGGAAATTAGAGATAGTGTCGGTTTCCTTGACAGTGAACAACAGAACAATTCAGAGGTATAATGTTCAACACAATGCCTCTTGTTACTATAGGAACCAGCCATTCTTAGCTTGATGTGGGGAATTCATGGGGGAGGGAGGAACATAGCCACTGACACAACTTTTAGAGGTACACGGGGTGCATTGTGCATTGTTGAAGAGAAGGTCCTTGGCCACCAGCAAACTGGGTGGAGGAACCTGCAGGGCCTAATTGGGTGGTGTACCCGTCAGTTTCAATGCGGGGTATGGATGGCTCACAAATCAATCCATGTCTGTTGGCTGCAGTGGAGCAGATGGAAATGGGTTGTGTGGTGGCTTCATGATTGAGCAGATGGCTAGGGAGTGAGTTGGTCCCAGCTGCAAGGAATGTGTGTGAGAGTTCAGAGACAGCGGGACCTTATCTGGAGCTTAACCATAGAATCATGGAGTCGGAAGGGGCCTCTAAGGCCATCGAGTCCGACCCCCTGCTCAAGACGGGAATCCAGGTCAAAGGATATCTGACAGATGGATATCTAACTTTCTCCTGAATGCCTCGGTCCAACCCCCTGCTCAAGGCGGGAATCCAGGTCAAAGGATATCGAATGCCTCCAGTGTTGGTGAGCCCACCATCTCCTGAGGGAACTGGTTCCACTGCTGTACTGGTCAAACAGAATGTTTTTCGTTAGATTCAACTGGAATAGAGAGTAGTCTTCAAGCCCTCTCAGGCGGTGATCAGATAAGCACATAGCTTGCTACTGGGTTTGCTTTTGGTGCAGTTTGGATTGCCATGAATTCTTGTGTTTTAAGTAACAATAATCCTTGTCGCTTCTTTTGTGAGCCATCCCGTTCCTTTCTGGCACAGCAGAAGAGCTGCAGTTTATTTGGTGTTATGGGGAGCACTCCTGATTATGCCACTCTGCAGTCTGTGTGGCTGCTTAATTCAACAACTCTGTGATGTATGTAGTGTGTTGTTACAGTGAAAGAACCGTGGAGAAACAAACCCTCTCCTGTTTTCATCTTCTCGTGATTTTTGGGGTAGAAATCCAATGAAATAAATAAACAAACAAACAAACAAACAAACTATCCTACATGATGCAGCGCTGTTTCAGATACAAGGGAGTATCCATGGTATAGTGGTGCCTCGCATTACGACGTTAATTCGTTCAGCGAAATCGCTGTAGAACGAAAACGTCGTAATGCAAAAAGAAAAAACCCATTGAAATGCATTAAAACCTGTTTAATGCATTCCAAAGGGCTTGAAACTTACCGTCCAGTGAAGATCCTCCATCGGGCGGCCATTTCCGGTGCCTGTAATGCGAGGAATCTGTCCCAGAAAACAGCGGGGGGGCATTTTGTTTACCCGGCGGCCATTTTGAAACCACCGATCAGCTGTCGGAAAATCATCGTTATGCAAAGAATCAGTTCCCGAAGCAGGGAACCGATCATCGCGAAATTCCCCCATAGGAAACATCATTTTACGATTGCAAAAGCGAGCGCAAAAACTTTGTCGTAATGAATAAACAAATAAACTATCCTACATGATGCAGCGCTGTTTCAGATATAAGGGAGTATCCATGATATGTTGATGTACTGCTGTAGCGCTACGTCACTAAATTAAACAAAACAAGAAAGGGAAGTTACAATGACCCGTGGAATGACACCCGTGACAAAAAGTGGGAGAGAAGAGAGGAGTCAAAAATTAAAAGGGAGAGAAATTGGAACAATATGAGGTCCTGTCTGAATCCTCCTCATGGGAGAAGAAACATCTCCCATGTGAACGGAAGGACCGCTCAAATGTGAGATAAAAAAATCACATTGAAGATAAGTACTTTTAAAATGCAACCAGGATCATTTCCCCGTCTAGTCGTGTCCACAGATGCCTTACTTGAGGCCAAAAACTAAAGCAGGGAACCGATCATCGCGAAATTCCCCCATAGGAAACATCATTTTACGATTGCAAAAGCGAGCGCAAAAACTTTGTCGTAATGCGATTTCGTCGTTAAACGGGGCAATCGTAAAGTGAGGCACCACTGTATGTTGATGTACTGCTGTAGCGCTATGTCACTCACTAAATTAAACAAAACAAGAAAGGGAAGTTACAATGGCCCGTGGAATGACACCCATGACAAAAAGTGGGAGAGAAGAGAGGAGTCAAAAATTGAAAGGGAGAGAAATTGGAACAATATGAAGTCCTGTCTGGATCCTCCTCATGGGAGAAGAAACATCTCCCATATGAATGGAAGGACCGCTCAAATGTGAGCTAAAAAAGATAACATTGAAGATAAGTACTTTTAAAATGCAACCAGGATCATTTCCCCGTCTAGTCGTGTCCACAGATGCCTTACTTGAGGCCAAAAACTAAAGTCCCCAGTTCATGTGTTTGAGATAACGGTACAACACACAGGAACCATCTTTTTCATTAGCAGCATGAAGCCTTTTATTACATTCTATTTGATTAATTCTTCTTACCGATCATGACCAACACTCAGGTTGAGAAAAATCAATGTCTCTTTTGCTCATCCATGTGAGAGGGCTACTCCCACAACCGAAGAACAACACGGAGACCTCCAAGACGTCATTGATGTTCTTATCAGAGTAAAAGGGATTTGATCAGAAACGGGGAGAGAACAGAAGGGCATCTTTACAACCCGTGTAAGCACAATGCTTGGGGCAATCATATGAAGGTACTCATGTGTGGAGAAGTCTTCTAAACTGCCAGCTTCCTACTCAGGAGAAAAGGACACTGATCACTGCAATCAAACAGCAGTAGAGATCCAAAGTGTGCGCCATCGACATTTGGTTTTAAGAAGCCAGTGTTGTCGCACAAACGGGAGCTCAATTTTTAACACCGATGGGGCAGGATACTCCTGTGCCTCCAAGTCCACAGTAGCCATTGGGGTTCTTGCTGAGATACTGCTGATGATATTCTTCAGCATAGTAGAATTCAGGCGCCTCACGGATTTCAGTGGTGATGGTTCCAAAGCCCTTTTCCGTCAGTACCTGCCGGAGAAGAAGAATCCCATTAGGAGTTGTATGTTTTCCTAGGAGAGGCCATTCTCATGATAAATAACACGTCATCGACAAGATCAGTGAAGAAAGAATATAGCAGGCTAGAAAGCGTGTTTAGCTGTGGATGGAGTCCGGTTCTGATCAACATCAGCAGCTGGGCTTCATCGGATGACTCTCACGTCATCCCGTCTACCCAATGGAAACCACAACCTCACGACAGAGCAGGGCTGAGATCAACAGTAAAAGCAGAAAACGTGACCAAATGCCAAAACCGAACCAGGGGAGGAAAATCATCCTCCTGCTTTCACATCGCAACAGAATGCTTTAACAAGATGTCCAAACACAGCTCCTGGGAGATGTTTCATTTTCAGGTGCCACAACCCAGAAGGCCTTGCCCCAGTCAACCCCTAATGAAACATCTACTACAAAGGGGGGGGGGCTTATCAAAGACTCAAGCGGATGCAGCAAAACATGATGTGACAAGTTCATTCCCGGCGCCCGGCTCTGTGGAATTTGAGGGGTGTGTATTATATCACACCTTCCCAGCAATGACAGAACCCAGTCTTCTATGGGCCTTCCATCCGGAGGGACTCAGTCCGGGGCTATGCTTACTCAGCTCCCACATCACTGCCTTTCAAATGGTCTCAGACTAATTTTTTTTTAAAGGAAGGGGTTCACTGGGCAATCAGAGGCCCGAGGAACTGCTGCAGCATCAGCTGAGGGCAGGGAATTAAGGCCTGCTGGAGAGGCCATACAATCAGGGACAAGGACAGAGATTCCATGGTAAGCTTGGGATTCTGGTCAGAGTTGCAAGGGGGAGAGAAGACAAGGAAGACAAGGAAGTGTTCCCACTAAAATCAGAAAAGGGGTTGGGAGGATTTCGGTTCTACACTCTGTGTGCATGCACACATACACACACATGTGGTTGTGTGAGTTTGTGTGTGGGGGAGAGGGAGAGGGAGGGAGAGAGGGAGAGAGAGAGGGACAGTAGAACACTCTCACACAGAATAGGAATTAAGTAATCATGGGGTGCTGGAGGAGACACTTGAAGTCCCCTGGACTCCAAAGAGAACATACCTATCCATTCTGAAAGAAATCAACCCTGAGTCCTCACTGGTCTGATGTCTACAGCAGTGTCTGAAGTTTTTCACTTTAGTGCCTATGTACAAATCTGTATCCCCTGGACTGCAAGGAGAACAAACCTATCCATTCTGAAGGAAATCAACCCTGAGTGCTCACTGGAAGGACAGATCCTGAAGCTGAGGCTCCAATACTTTGGCCATCTCATGAGAAGAGAAGACTCCCTGGAAAAGACCCCTATTTTGGGAAAGGGTGAAGGCAAGAGGAGAATAATGGGGATGACAGAGGACGAGATGGCTGGACAGGGTCATCGAAGTGACCAACATGAATTTGACGAAACTCTGGGAGGCAGTGGAAGACAGGAGGGCCTGGCGTGCTCTGGCCTGGCAGAAAGGAAGCGGCTTCCCTTTGCCGCCCAGAGTAGAACTTTGGTCCAGATGGGTGGGGTAGAAATCTAATAAAATGAACAAAATAAACCATTTCTTCTATGCCCCCAAAACATAGGCAAGCAACAGGAAGCCCACGGGCCACGTCTGGCCAGCGGGGAAGAACTTTCCACCTTTCGCTCGCTCAAACTCTTTGGTGGAACAACGGAGCGAAAACAGGCTTTTTGCTCCAGCCAGCCGCCTCGCAGCCCATGTGCTTTGCTGCCGGCTTGACTGCCAGCTCCTCCTTTCTGCAAATGTGCCGCTGGCAGCCAATGAATCGGGGAAAGGCAGCTTAGGCGCTCACCTCTCCACTCCTCCTGGCAAGGGGGCCGGCTGGCAAGCCGTCTGCTACAGCATGAGGGATGGATCTGCAGTAGAGGAAGCCTGTCCATATCAGGAGAAAAGACCTTTAAATGGAAGAAAAGCACAGAAAGTTCCCCTGACAACGGGTTCTGATCCTTTTTTATTTATTTTTCCGTCCGTGAGCAAGTGGATGAGGATGGACTCTACAGCACATTGGGCAGCGGGCAAGCCTTCTAACCCTTGGAAGCTGGAAGATTCATTCAGGAGGTTACTTGTCATCTGTCGCGATGGACAGATACGCGTCTCTGGCTGCATCTTTCTTCCCCAAACACATCCTGGCTGGAGGGGGAAACCTACGTCTTTTTTACTGCAGCTTCGAGAAGATCCCAGCCAAAATGGCCATGGGGCATTCGGACCGCGATGCAATGGGTCTTGTAGACCAAAACACTCTTAACGTTTCCAACCTCTGGTCTTAATTATCTGGGGTCTCTGCCTGTCGCAAATCACTGACCCCATTTTGCCCTCATTTTATCTATCTGGGAGAAATTGGGGAACATCCTCATACGACAGTGGTCCCCAAACCTTATTTTTTGACTTGCAGCTCCCATTACATACTGGCCACTGGCTCCAGATCCCTGGTTCAGTAGGGCTGCCGTATCCATGAGATCAGTAACCACGGTTTCACTTACCCACTGCTTAGAAGAAGAAGAAGAAAAAAATAAAAGACATGAGGACACCTTCCCAGGGTGTATTACTAGGACTGACCACTAGATGAAACCAGATGCTCTGCTGTCCACGTAGCTGAAGGAGAAGCTGCATTTTTGCAAGGAGTGGGCAGGGAGCCTCCCCTGTGAACAGCAGGGCAGGAAACCCATTTCTAGGCCAAAGTTCCCTTTCTCAACAATGCACAGACCCTAGAGAAAATGCAAGGAAATGCTGTAGGATGCTTTGGATGGAGGAGAAAGGAGGGAGAAGGATGGAAGGAGGATTCCGTGGTGCCCCCAGGGGGCATTTCCCGGCACCCCATGGCACCAGAGCGCACAGTTTGGGAAACACTGTCATAAATCTTTGCCACATACAGATGCATGTTGTTTAGTTGTTAAGTCGTGTCCAACTCTTTGTGACCCCATGGACCAGAGCACGCCAGGCCCTCCTGTCTTCCACTGCCTCCCGGAGTTCGGTCAAATTCAAGTTGGTAGCTTTAATGACCCTGTCCATCCATCTCGTCATTTGTTGTCCCCTTCTCCTCTTGCCTTCACACTTTCCCAACATCAGGGTCTTCTCCAGGGAGTCTTCTCTTCACATGAGATGGCCAGAGGATTGGAGTCTCAGCTTCAGGATCTGTCCTTCCAGGGAGCACTCAGGGTTGATTTCCTTCAGAATGGAGAGGTTTGTACTCCTTGCAGTCCAGGGGATACAGATTTGTACATAGGCACTAAAGTGAAAAACTTCAGTCACTGCTGCAGGCATCAGACCAGGGGGTCTGGCTGACTCAGATGCACGGGCTCTACCACAGGGTCACTCCATGTGCCTATTGACTCTCCGATGGGGGATATATGCTCTCCCTACCCCGTGCGCAGTCATCTTTAAAAATATGCCCGGGACGACTGTTTTGGCAGTATGTGTCTCTTCTACACTGCCCCACTGCCCAGGGAGCCCTTGTAGTCCGGAGAACACAAAGCTGCCCGTCTCTCGCTTCTTTGCTGTCCAGTTCTCTCTCCCTCACACTCTGGGGAAAGCCAGGCTTCTCCGGAGAACAACTGTCTCTGAGGTGCACACGAAATAAGATTGGAGCCACCATGAGATTCTGCTCTTTCTGGACAACGCTGCATCTTAGGCTGCAGGGGCCCTCCACGCTTCACAGGAAAGAGGCCGGGCGAGGGAGGAAGGGAGGGTAAGAGCGCAAGGAATGTGCCTCTCCAAGGGAAGTTGGTGTCGTCGGCTGCCCGCTCCTCCGCGCCAACCGTGACTTGGCAACGACGGTAGAGACAGATGTTGGTCTCATCTGGTTGCCTTGGCTCCAGTGGTTTGTCTGAAATGAACAGCACAGCCAAGCCTAGCGTACGTAGGGGTCTTTGCGCCCCGAGAGAAAGTGAAATGAGCAAAGCCCTTCTGGTCCCGCGCTGGTTTGTGGGGCTGGGATGAAGGAGAGGGGGCTTGCCAGACCAAAGAAAGGAAGGAAGGAAGGAAGGAAGGAGAGAGAGAGAGAGAGAGAGA